TAAGACTAAGACAACTTGTCACTTTGCCCTGTATCCAGCTTAGGTGTGAATTCCAAAATGTCACAATCCCCCCCCAGTCCAGGCTAAAAGCTCAGGCTAGTACACCCACCCCAACTCCGGTGCAGACTGACCAGCGCCGGTCCCCTTCCAGGTTGAATGAATCAGCCAGTTTAAGTCAACACACTTCCTGTAAGCTCAGGGTGTCATGGCTCCGCCCCCTGCCCTGTCCTATGAGGAGGATGCTGCAAAGAGATTTCTTTAAAACTATGGGGGTGCTTCAAAGTGGGGTTGGACCTTACAGATGAGAGCGAGCGAGAGATCTTCAGGTATAGATTATACATGGATATAAAAACACACGGAGACAAATGAAACCCTAAAAATAAAACCGATATGCAAAAGTCAACATGACTTCCCTTTTAACGGTCATGTGACCACTTTCTGCTTCGCTCTGTGTGCCTGTAGAGCAGCCTGAAGACATACAGGGGACGTGCATGTGTTATGGGGGCCAATGGGTACTCGCTGCATTGTAGGGCAATGGGCGAGAGGCATCGTATAACTAACTACTAGGGCTAGGAGAAGAACAAAAACAAAAACACATGTAAAAAGTATAAATAGGGTAATAAAATAAAGAGTCAATAAGAGGTTGGCAAGAGCATGTGCAGAAAAAATACCCGGCCTATCTCTGTAAGGCCCGGTTCGCACCTGGGCGTTTTGTAGCGCGTTCCTACGCTCTGCAAAATGCTCAAACACCGAAATCCCATTGTTTCCTATGGGCATGGTTCACACCTGGGCGTATTACAGGCCGTATGAACGCGCTACAAAACGTCCTACGCCCAAAAAAGTACAGGAGCTTCTTTGGGGCATTTTTGTTACGCGTTTCCATTGGGATACAGCCAAGTAGCCCTCGGAAACGCGCTTTGTCGTGACAAACGCACATATTCGATACGCCTAGGTGTGAACCCAGCCTTATCCCTCCCTGGCTGCCGATCTCTGCCCGCAGTCAAGAGAAACCTACGGATTAGATCTTTCACTTTCTGGATGCCTTGTCACTCCCCCCCTCCCCTCCCACTGCGAGTAGTGGTTTGATCCGCTCCCCCATTTCCTGTTGTAGTCAAGGGTTGCTCTTGGCAGCAGAGATGAGGCAAAAAAGTTGGAACAAACTTCCCTCAATGCCCACATGTGAGGTGGAGCCTCCATGATTGAAAGAACTGAACTCCAATGAATGAAAGGGGCGGGGCCAGGGACAGTCAGGCAGGGCAGGAAAGTGCTAGATCATATGTCTTCCAGCCGGGAAATGAGGCGGAGCTCCATCTGATTTGCTGCAGCTTCTAATGCACATGGTGAGAAGCTCGCAGTGTGCAGTGATAAGAGGAAGCCATTTCAGTCCAGGAGAGGAGCCGGTACAACTGTGCAAGACTGAAGGAGAGAATTACAAATCATAGACAGGTTCTCTTTATTCTGAGACCTCTCACATATTGGGGAAGTCGCGCTTCCTTTTTGAGCAAATTCTTAAAAACAAAAAAACAAAAAAAACATCTCGTTATGCAGTTGACAAGAACAGCTGTGCACAAGCCGCCGTACCCGTTCTCAGCCCCCGCAGCTGCGGTTCTGGCAACGGTGAAAGCTGCAGCAAGCAGGTCACCATAGAACGC